GAGCAGAGGGAAATATTTATAAAAAATATTTTTTTATATATATATATATGTACACGCACATACAAGCATATACACCCACATATGTAGATACATGATTTTATGTGTATAAATATATGTGTATATAATAGTATCAAATCCTTTGGCAGCCTTCTCTCTGGGACAATTTTTCTGCACCAGGCATTTTTCTGCCTGCTTAAAAAATAGTCTCACTTACATCACCCGGCCAAGTTTATATCACGGCCCCAACCACGTGCTAAACTGGTCCCTTTCATTCGTCTCTGTCCTCTCCCCACAGTAACCGGAGGTCACATGGAAGCCTTGCCGGCTTCCTCGCTGTGAACTTTATTTGCCTTATTCCTCTCCAGCAGATCAAAGAGGCTTGACCCGGCTGTAAAGCCTTTTTCCATGGCAGATAACTGACCGGGGAGGGACAGCATGGGGGGGGGTGAGCGGGGAGGCAGTGGCACGGGGATGGTCCCTGCTGGCCTCACCGCAGCCCCGCATCTGCTTCCCGCGGCCCAGACACCCAGTTCGGGGTGCACCAAGCCCCGGGCCGGCTCCACCAGCATGAAAGCAATTGGAGCTAAAGAGGCTTATGTACCATTGAAACCTCGTTCTTTAATAGACTTGCTGGCAAATGGCCAGTTTAACGGATTGGACTGGTCCGATTCCCCAAGGAAGGGTATAAGGACATTTTACATTAGTAAAAATAAAATAGAAAAATTATAACCTGCTTTTATTACATTTCTTGCTCACTGGGCGATTCTCCAGTGTCCACTCCCTGGAGAGATGCCACAGTCCCCGGGGCACTGTGGGCCTCTCCTCCCTTGTTCCCTTGTTCGCTATCCATGCAAATAGATGTGCAACAGCAAATACGTATTCTGCATCCATCGCCTCTCACACCTCATGTTGTCTGAGTCCTGGCATAATAATCCAAAAAAAAGCATTTTTATCTTTAAACTGGTTCCTTTTTCTCTCTTTTTTTTTTTTTTTTGGTTTTGTTTTTTTCCTTCCCAATTATGACTCACTGAGTTGTAATGGAATGATAGTCAGTGAGGACTAATGCCTTTGCTTTGATTCTTAAATACAGAATTATGATTTGGCCCTGCAAAGAGTTGTGTAATCTAAGTAAAGCACAGGAATTGTGGTTTATGTATTGTTGCCTTTGGGAGCCAACTATTTCGCTCGCAGTGGGTAAAATTAAGGACCTGCAAGAGTTTGGTTTGGTCTGGGTTTGGTGGGTAAGGGGCACTTTTTTAAACGGAAAATACAGCTTTGATGAGCATATACTGTCCCAAAAATCAAAGCCATGATACATCACGTGGAAGCTGCTTCAGTGTGACCTGACTGAAGGCGAGAGACATTAAAAGGGGTAAAAGGGCCACAGTGAAACGTGTGCCTTTAGGGGCGAAGAAACAGGTAAAGTTTAAGGAAGTTTTAAACAGTATTAGCCTCAGCTTGGCCGATAAACCCAACAATTGCTGAATCCCAGGTAGTTACAGCTGATGAATCCTTGCGGGGTACAGGGGGTCCCTGCATGCACGTCTCAGTAAGCACAGGGTGGGTCAGGGCCGCGGGGACGCCGGTGCCCGAGCTGCTCGCGGAGGGACGCCGGCCAAGGAACGGTGCATTCCGGGTCGCTGGTGCGGCAGCGTGTTTGTACCACAGCAACATGTGTAGGCCAGGGAGCGGAGAGGAGTCCCGCAAAAGCGGGCGAGCCAAGCATCGCTTCTCTTCTGCTTCATTTTGGGGCTGTTTACTGGATTTCTGCACATTGATTCTTCCATTGTGTCAGGTACTTTTGGTGCTCATATTTTCCCCTCTATGTTTGTTTATCACCCCCTTTACTCTTTCTCAAGCAGTTTGTAGGACCCCCAGGTTGCCTGGCTTCCTGTCTCATGGCACGGCACCCCCCCTGTAAGGTTTTCAGTAGCTAGCTGTAACGATCAATAACTATATAACGGCATTAATTAAAACAAATGAGAAAAAATCTGCAGGTTTGGAATGAACCAAGTATTGCGTTTGTGGCTGAAGCACAACAGAAGCTGGACTTCAGGTTTTGTGTTTGGAGATATCATGAGATCGCTTGTTCTCGTAAAATCTTTTGCATCTCTGTCTGTGCAAGCGTGAGACCAGGCTGCCGCAGAGCGGCTGGCGTCCCCTCCTCAGCTGAGCCCCCCCGCAACCCCAACGGGCTTTGGGCTGGGAACGGAGGGTTCGTCCAACTCCTCATCTGCTGTGCCTGTACAAGCAAAATTTGCGGAGGAAGATGGCAGAGGCTGGCTTGGCATCGTCTCTGGTTTTAATTACAGCAGTGATTAGGAATTCATAGCCTGTGGTCTCCCAAGAGCTGCCCTGGCCAAATTGGAGAAAGTCAGTGCTACCCGAGCTGCATTTAATGGCAGTGGCTCCTCCCAGGGTTGCTGTCCCACCACGTTCTTGCATGGAACTTGGGAAAAAAGGGGGAGGCAGTGAGGAGGAATTGTACTCTGCAAGCAACACGCAAAATCCCCAAGTGCCCTCTGCCTGCACGGTACAGCAGCCTCTGCGCGCAGGTTTTCAGAAGCACGTTAATCATTGCAATAGCTTTCATGTAAGTTGGCGAATGGGTTCCAGCGATGCGGTCTGACCAACGCCTGCCAGTTTTATGTGTCCCTGTGATTTCTGATGCTCCCTCACCTCTGTAAATACAGACTCTCTCGTAGTGACATAGTCACGAGGTGATTTGAATCCTCATCTCGAAGTCCTCTGAACCTTGTGCGGGGGTTTTTCTTCTGCAGGGGAAGGTAAGGGAGAGCGGTCCAAATTTTGCTGGGTGCTTCCTTGTGCAATTCTTCTGTTGCTGACCCTGTTTCAGGAAAGCGGCTACAAATCTGAGAGCCTGGGGTCTGCGGAGCAGAATGTGAGAAAACACAGCCTTAAGAGTTCAAAAGGCTCTTGAGTGAAATCCCTCTAAATCTGCCTCTCTGGATTGAGATGTTTTAGATCCTGTAAATTCTGTTTCCTCAGTGAAATGAGTGAGCAGCCGGTGCCGTAGCCAGGGACACGGATCCGCGGCGGCTGACGGGGATATTCCCCTCGCTGCAGCTCGCTGTGGGTCTGCAGGCTCGGAGCCATCGCGCATCCGCTGGCTGCGTTTTGTAGTTCCTCACTGCAAATAGTTAATTCTCTCAGACATACTGAAAAGCTGCTTATTTGATTTGGGTTTAGTGCTATAAAGTCAAATGTAAGTAGCCCTTTTTTTTTTTTTTTTGGTGCTTGAATATAGGGATAGTAATTAGATGCTTTGCCCAGTTTCTGACATAAAATGAATCACCCGCCTCTTCCCTACCCCGCTGTGAATGCATGGTGGGCAGGAAGATAAAGGCATCTCAAAAGGAGTTCTCCTTCCCAAGCAGGCGCCCGGGCACTGACGTAATGATAGGAAGGATGTGATTGCATGGCTGCACAGGACGGGTACGATTTTAATTGCATTATGCATACACCAGTAGTTTGAGGCTGTTCCCACACCGGTTTATGTCACTAAATCTCCATTGACGGCCCTGGCATTTACAGAATCACTTCCAGCAGGAAAAGATCACAACTGAATCGCACAATAGTGCCGGTTGTAACTAAAAAAAATAAATAAATAAGCATTGCCCCTGTGGTGATGGCTTGTTAACAACGGCTGGCTGGTGGTTCAAAGCCCGCTGTCGCCGCTAGCTACCCACAGCCGGGCTGCAGGAGCCCTCTTCACCCCAAACCCCGGGCGCGGGAGGCTCAGGCGTGCCGTCCAGCTTGGGCAGCCCCGCACCCTCACCCATGGCTCTTCCCCCCTAGCACCTAACCAGCACTTCTTCCTTTCTCACAGCCGCTTTCTTCCGTCCCCCCCTTGCATATTTGTTTCTCTCTTCTCTGCCATGGGGATACTTTAGAAGTCCAGTGGTAATGCGAAGTCCCGTTTGAAATAAAAGTCAATGTTTCCACGTGGGTGGATGCTGTGCTCCGCTCGCTCGCTTGCACCCAGGGCCGCTTGCTCGTGGGGAGCATGCGCCGCAGCAGGGCGGTGGATTCGCCGCAGGTAACAGAAATGGGGCAAAACTGCTGGAGAAGGGGTGCGGAGGGCGTCCTGCCACCACTCCCGACACCGAGGTGACGGCAGCGGCTGCTCGTGGTGCGCTCTGGGGTGTGATGCTGGTGGGAAACCCAGCCCAGCCGTGCTGGCTCTTCTTTATTATTATTATTTATTTTCCTGGTCACATGAGGAATACATCCGCAGTGAGCGTGTGGCCGCGAGACGCTCGCCTGCTCAGCTGGACTCGCCGGAGCAGGCTGTGATCCGCGCAGCCCTGAGCCCTCTTTCCGCCTCCCCCGGGGCAGGAGGGTGCTGGGGTGTTTCTCCTCTCTCTGGACTGTGCTGCTCCTCCCAAACACACCTGGGCCCCTTTCCTGGCCACCTTCCCAAGGCAGGTTTGCTGCCCCGAGCAGATCAAGTACAGGCTCATCACAAATCAATTTGGGATGGCAAAAAAATCAAGATTAACTGTTGCAAAGGCCACGCTGGATGAGCTCTGCAGTGCAAAACCCAAACGTGGTCAGGAACAGGGGCCAGTGACCGTAGTCACAGGTCTCAGGTTGAATAAGAGGATTCGATGGTGCTGGGAACTTCCCTTGACTGGGTAAGTTCACTCCTGAGAGCAGGATCTTGTTCTTAATGTATATGTTTAGTCTTCATTAAACTTAGATTATTAAGTGAAAGTGGGAAAACATAAGCAGATGAGTTTGTGACCCTTTTCCTTACCACTAGCACTTCTACTTAGCTCTTCCCGGCACCCCAGCATGCTTGTCACTGCATTTCGGCAGAAAATGAAATGCATTTCTGCGTCTAAGTGTATTTTCTGATATTATTTGCCATTGCTGACATCTCCATCACTGTGGCATCCTCTGAGATGCCCTGCGGTGTACTTAAAATGAGTTACTAATGAGAAGTACTCACATATTTTTTTTATTTAATCACAAAGGATCTAAGAGATTCCTGCGACCATGAAGTCTGCAAGGATTTTAAGTTCACCGTGGAAATGTGCCAGCAGCTTCCCTTGAGCAGTGAAAAGTGAATTTCTGTCTTCCAGTCACACTTATTTATTTAATCCAGCTGATGTGGTTATGAATGAAGGAGCCGGGCACCTGTTCCGGGGATATGATCTGCTGCACGACAAAACCTTCAGGTCAGTGGGAAATTATGTCCCAAGTAGGAATTTAGCAGAAGGCAGCTGAATGTGGCACAGGGGGTCAGAAATAATAAATGTTACTGCAAGAATTTGGCTGAGATAAATGCTCTGATTTTTCCCCTGGGAGTGAATGAGCGCGCTTTAAGCAGTTTCCCTGTGGGTCTTGTGTAACTTTGGCCGCGGCTGCGCGTTTTACCTGGCTGCAGAGGCAGATGCTGCCAACAGCCCCTGCTCGTGGCACTTTGATCCATCGTGTCCCTGCCACCACCCCATGTTCCATGCAAACCCAAGGAGCACCGTGCCCATCACTTTACTCAAACCAGATGCCTCCCAGCAATTAGAAGTGATTTGTAATTAAAGCATCGCATCTTTTTGGCAGATGAGAAGCACGCTTGTGATGTCTTTAGGGCAATTTTTTTAACATCCAGGTGCTGACATAAATGACACCTGGCACGTGTCAGAGGGATGCAAAGTCAGCAAAGGTGTAATCACACTTTCTTCGTTATCTGCGTTATCACAGGAATAGTTTTGTTCCTGTATTGTATAGGGTCTGCTTCCAACACTTATTTTTATTGCAACCCTGACTCTTGTGATCCTTTTGCTGGTGCTGGCAGCTCCAGATGTCCATGGGTGCCCTGTACCTGGCCAGATGTGCGGGAAGGCCTGGCCCTGGTGTGGTACCCGCAGCCGAGCAGGGCAGAAGCACGTGGCTGCGGCCGAGCATCCCCCCATGGCAGCGCTGCCGCTGCTTCACTCATCCCACAAGCGCCTTCCTGGCTTTCCCCTTTCAGCTTGGCTGCACAGGTGGATACAAAACAGGGCTCACAGGCTGATGTCGAGGGAGTCAGTCTCGAGATTTCAGAGTAACCAGCAACCGTGGCAAACTGGGCAGCTACAGTTCCTGGGAGCAGACAGTGTTCAGTGGGACTTGCTGCAATGCTTTTGCACAAATGGCCGATTCATCAGTAAATGAATAGCTCCCTCACTGAGCTCTCCCCCTTCTTGTAGTTTGCTAGGAAAAGTGTGTTTGGCAAGCTGCTTCTCATAGCCTGATGTGGAGAAATATTGAGGGGAGAAATCAGCACTCCGTCTCAGTTCATCCCAATGTCATTGCAACCACGTAGTCGAGATTTTATCAGATGCGGAGATTTCTGGGAAGATGCTCAAGGCTCCTGAGAAAATTACCCCGCGGGTGGGTATTGCCCAGTAACATCATCTGGATGCCCTTTCATTTGCTGTGATCATTGCAACCGTTCTTGGAGGGGCTGGTTGTGGTCCCAGAGGCTTTGCACGGTTGGGAACTCTTGGGGGAGCGGAGGCGGCTCTGCTGGGCTGGGCTGGCACTGGGGGCCCAAGGGATGACTGGGCCAGAGCCCACAGGAGGGAGATGGCCCCGAACGTGGGCTCTGTGTCACTGCCGCCGCTCCCTGCTGCCCCCCACCACGCTGTAGCCCGATAACGGGTGAGGTTAATCGTTTGTGTGGGTTTTCTTTCTCGTGCAAACTTAAAAACCTCCTCCAGGGCCTCGTGCAAGGGGTGCCCTCCTGTCTGCAGGCTGGCCTGTGCCAGCTTCCAGAGCTCACTCGGCGCGAATATGGGAAAAGGCTGCGGGAGAGTAGTCCTGACCTTCAGCATAACCCAGACGCTGCTCCCAGGAGGAAAAAAGCTGGTTAGTGTTAGTGTCAGTGGTGCCGTTGTGCGGGAAGCCCTGGCCCCCCACGGGAGTGAAGCCCCTCCGTTAACCACTCGGTAGCTCTGCAGGCTGGAGCGAGGCCAGAGCGGGAGAGGAAAGGGGCTGCCTGGGCTCCTGTGGCAGAAAAGCCTTTTCTTTAAGATCTTGACTGCTGGTAGAGTCATAAATAGCACTGTGGGCTTAACAGGAAACATGAAATGTTTGGATCCCCTCCTCTGCAGCGTCTGCTCGGCTTGTCCCTCGCAGGGCTGGCAGTGATCGGAGACTCCCTGGCGGGGAGTTGATGCTGGCCCGTTACTGTAAATGCGAGTTATTTAAAATGCTTCTTGTGTGCTCCGCACGCAAACACAAGTCCCCTGAGGACAGCATCACCGCGCGCCCCAGGAGCCGCGAGCCGGGTGCCCGGCTCCTCTCGCCAGCGGTTGTTTCTGCAGAAGAGAAAAGTAGGGCGACCTGCAGGGGCTGTGTTTGGAAAGATGCCGGCTCAGCTGCTTGCCCTCTGCTTTCCCAGCGAGTAGCTCTCGCTCCATGAGTCCAGCAAAAGGCGAGACCGTACGGCAGAGAGCTGCCCTCCCTGCGCCCATGGCAAAGCGGTGCCGGCAGGTATAAAGGGAATGAGTTGGGGATGGCAGAGTGTTACTGTCCTGTGACACAAAACTTGTCCCCTTGCCTGTCTGCTCCATGCACAGCCCTCTTGACAGGAAAGGCAAAAAAATTTTTCTCTTTGCTTTTAATTTCAGCGCTGTCAGAGCAGCACCGGGGCTGGCAGCGGGGCCGGGGGGGGGTTCCCCAGCAGCCCCACTGCGTCCAAGGAGCCGAGGCTCCAGCCCTTCTCTCCTCGAGCCAGGACTGCACCCTGCGTGACTGCCGTTGGGGAATGCCCTGGAATTTCTCCCTCCCGGGAGCCACCCATCTCTCCCGTGGAGCACCCGGAGGCGTCGCGCCTGGCGGGGCCGCAGGGTGGGGACCCTGTGGTGGCATGCTGTCAGCCTGATACTCTGGCACTCCCTTATCCCCACGCTGCAGTCGTCTGTTGTTTCTTCCAGGAAACATTTAAGCAATGAAATGAAACTTCCCTTGGCTTGAATCACCTATAATTTACCCTGATGTAAATCATAAGGAACTCGAAATTGAGAATGTAGAGCTGGCATAAAGGCAGAAAGCGGTGTCTCGGAGTGTGTCTGCACGGCGTTTTGCACGCGGAGGCACGCTGGCTTTGCCCCGCTCCATGGGAGCTGAGGGCTTGTGGCCGGAGCTGGTGCCGTGCTGCCTGGCCCTACCGGGGGCTGCGGCCACCATGCAGCCCCCGTCCTGCTCAGGGAAGGCAGAGAAAGCTCCTGGCAGCCCAGTCCTGGCTGGATCCCAGGGCTTGTCACAGCATCTGTCTGCAACAGATAACTGCAGCCTGTTGCACATTTGTACTCAGTTGTCCTTTAGGAGTGACCTGTCTGCTCCTGCTCACCCTTCTAGGGGTGTTTCCTCCTTCCCCATATCTCTTCCATAGATGCTGTTCTTCTCAAGTGAAGGTGGTTGTTGGTAGGCAGCCCCGGGGGTCAGCAGAGCCGTGTGTTTGCAGTGGCTGACAAGGGAAAGCATAGAATCATAGAATCGTTTAGGTCGGAAAAGACCTTTAAGATCACCAAGTCCAACCGTTAACCTAACCCTGCCATCCCACCTCTAAACCCTGTCCCTAAGCACCTCATCTCTCCTTCTTTTAAATACATCCAGGGATGAGGACTCGACCACCTCCCTGGGCAGCCCATTCCAGAGCCTGACAACCCTTTCTGTGAAGAAGTTTTTCCTAATGTTATCCTCAATGTTCTCCCCTTCCCAAGCTGCACAGAAACCCGTGCCTGTCCCCTGGCGTGACCTGACCGCATCCTTCTGGCTCTTGCAGAGTTTGCCATTTCACTCGTGGAGAAGATGCAGGCTCAGGAAATCTTGCGGAGCTTGCGGCTCCCCGAATTCGACGATCTCAGCCAGTTTTTCCGCAACCTGCCGGCCACGGCGCTGGTGGGCATCGGTGCCTTTGCAGCCGTCATCGCCTACTGGTTTGCCAGCCGGCCCAGGGCCGTGAAGCCACCCTGCGACCTGCGGATGCAGTCGGAGGAAGTTGAGGTGAGGCCAGGGGCACGCCGGCGGGAGAGGCTGGGTTTCACCCGAGGTTTGCATGTCTCGAAATGACCATGGGGGATGCCAGGAGGTGCTTTTGTTTGTTTTGAGGGCTCCCCAACCCCATCCTAAAATCAGCTGTGTAACGTGCTAATCCAGGGATCCTTTCACTCCTTAATTCACCTTTTTCTGTAAACTGGAAAGCTAGAGCACAGCCCATTCATTTATTCCCTTAGATTTTCAGTAACATTTTAGTCTTAGCTTTGCTCAACCATCTGTGACCGAAAATTGCAGGAGCTGCCATTGCATGGGAGAAACCACTGAAAGGCAAGAGCTGATAAGATCAGATCAGCTGGCACTTCTCACATGCTGAGTTTCCTGCTGCAAACTTTGTAATAGTAGGAAAAAGCAGACCCAAAACTGTGCTTAGAGGCTGAGGAGTTATTAATTTTCATGCTTGCAAAAGGTTTTAAAGTTTAATGAAACTGCTCTGTTTTAAAGAGCAGAAATATTTCTGAAAATTGTTTCCACTTAATATCTGAAAGTGTGATGAGACTTTTTAAAGCCTTTTGTCATGTCTCCTCTAAAACCCTCTTGTCTTTACTTCCAACAACTTTTTAAAGGGGTGGAGGGAATTTACATTTTCCAAGCCAGTTTTCCCCTGTGGTTAGGGCTGTAGTGAGACTTTCTTCTGGCTCACAGCATGGTCCAGGTTCGGTCACACTTGCCCTGCCTGCCTCCCCTTGCCCACTCCTAAAACACCCCCGCTGAACCCACCCGTTGGTGTCTGGAGTCTGGCCTCTGCTTTAGTCTGTCCTTTGTGTTGGTCTCAATGTCCTTGAGAAGGTGCCAGTCCTGGGGACCTGTGGAGCGCAGAGCAGTCGTTCCCCCCAGCATGTCCCCACTCCATTACTTGTAGATTTATAATTCCTCCTCAAATCAAATATCAACCATCTCCTGCGGCAATGAGCCGGGCCAAGTGCTCCTCTCTGGGAAGGTGGTTCTCCACGTTACCAGGGTGCTATGGTGGACGTCCCACCTCTCCTGTTCCTCTGGGTGTTGGGGCAGGAACACGGTGGTGGCCTCTCAGCATTTGGGGAGTGTGCTGCTTTATGGTTTGGGGTTTCCCCATCTCCCACCCATCAGGTGGTGCTGATGGCTGTGTCACATCGTGTCGTACAGGGCCTGGCTGGGGCACGCCGGTCGGTGATCGGGGACAGCCCACAGCTGCTGACGCACTACTACGACGATGCCAGGACCATGTACGAGGTCTTCAGGAGGGGATTCAGCATCTCCGGTGAGAGCATGGTGGGGAGAGGTGGAGGACCAGGTGATGTAGGTGCCCAAATTATGGAGGAGGCTCAAAGGCTTAGGGAAGCTTAGGGAGCATAGAGTCTGAAAGAGCATGGGAGCCCATAAAAGTGTGGGAGGCCAAAATAATGTAGAGGCCCATTCGGACTCAAAGGCCAAAGGAGCATGGGAGACCCAAAAAGGTGTGGGAAGCCACAAAACTGTAGAAGTCAAGAGAGCGAGAGGCTGAAAGAATGGGGGAGGAACAAATAGTGGAGAGGCTGAAAAAGTGTAGGAGGCCCCAGGGGTGCAGGAGGCACAAAGAGTGCGGAAGCAAAAAGAGTGTGGGAAGCTGGAGGAGATAAGATTGCTGAAGGAGAGAGGGAGGCTGAAACAGTATGGGAGGCCAAAAAAGTGCAGAAGCCCAGAGAGCACAGAGCCTAAGAGAGTATGGGAGGCCCCAAAACTATAGAGGATTATTATGTGTGGGAGGCCAAAAAGGTGTGGGAGGACCCATGAGTGTTGAGGCCAAAGACTGGCAGGCCAGAGCGTTGAGGCCCAAAAGGTGTGGAAGGTCCAACAAGTGTAGAGGTCGAAAAGGTGTAGGAGGCCAAGCAAGTGTTGAGGCTCAACAAGTGGAGGCTGAAAAGGTATGGGGGCCAACAAGGTGTAGAGGATGAAAAAGGTGTTGGGAGGCCAAAAAGGTGTTGGGAGGCCCATTGAGAGTTTAAAGGGCCAAGGAGTGTAGAGTCCTCAAACTTATAGTGGGGCCAAGGACTGTACAAGCTGAGAGTGTGAGGCTGAAAAGGAATGAGAGGTCAAAAAAGTGTATGAGGCCAAAATATTGTGGGAGGATGAAAAGGTATGGGAGGCCCACTGAGGGTTTTGGAGGATGAAAACCTGTGGGTGGCTGAAGAAGTGAAAAGGCCCAAAAAGTCTGGGAATCCACAAAAGTGTGGAAGGTCAAACGAGTGTGGCAGCCCAAAGAGTGGGGATGCCGAAAAGGTGTGGGAGGGAGAAGGTGATTGAGAGGACCACAGAGAGGGAGGCCCAGCAAGTAGACATCTGGGAGACTGGGGGACCCAAAGAGTGGAAGCCAACAGAGTGGGAAAAAAGTGAAGGGAGACCCAGAGGTGGAGGCCCAAACAGAGCAGGAGACCTGAAGGGCAGAGGTGGGAGAATGGGAGGTCCAAGGAATAGAGGCCAAGGAAGGAGGAGGCCCAGCAAGGGGCAGGGCGAGTGCTGCAGCCTGTGCTACCCGTGGTGGCGCGGGCGCCACTTTTGGAGCGTGGGGGTTATAATTAGAGTTGTTATTATTTGCAACATGCATTATTTTGCCCTTTACACCATTGAATTTTACCGGGCAGTCTCTTAGTACCGCGAGATCTTTATGCTGCCACTGGCAGGCAGCTTAACAGCCTGAATTTTGCAGCATCAGCAAAGCTCATCATACATTATTCATCTCCAGAACATTTATGAATACATTTAACGGGGCTGATCTGGGCACAGAACTGTGGAACCCAACAGAGCTCTTCCTCTGCTGCAAACGCTGATACGTATTTCTGCTTGTCGCTGCCTTTTCATCGACTCATCCAGCTTTCCTTGTATTCCACAACAAGGCAGGGGTAAGGGGCTCTGCCAAAAGCTCTTAGGAAAGCTGAGCGTGGTGTATCAGTCCATCGCCCTTACCCCGTGATCGATGGCCCCATCAAAGAGCTCTCACACTCTTGTGAGATGTCATTCCCGCTCCAAAAAGCCACGATGACTTTTCCCTGCTGTATCATAACCATTTCTGTGTCTGCTTGCAGCACCCCTCCTTGTTGAATAAGCCAATTTCATTGTCAGATTATTATTTTCAGTATCACCAAGAGCCTGAGTGGAATTGCAAATATTCCACCCCGTGGGACAGGGGTAAACAAATAACTCGGTAGGCGTATGGAGGGATGGATCTTGTGCGGGTAAGTAGAGTTAGCACATTAATTAAACTTCTCAAATATTCCTCCTGTCACGTAGTGCTGCGTATTGGCTTACCCCCACCAGAGTAGGCTGTGCTAAAAATAGAGATTTTCGCTTTGGAGTGAAAAGGCAGCGAAAGCAGTGGGAGCTGGTGTTTGGGGTGAAAGCCCTCATCCGACACGGATGCTCGCACTGCCGTCAGAGAAGCGTCTTTTAACGAGGCTGCTTGGGGGCAAACTGCTGCTGTCCCCTCCGCAGCTCAGGGAGGAGGCTTGAAGTGACTGTTTGGCAGATCCCAGCAGCCGGTCTCCCATTAGCTGCACTCGTGTGTTTAATTTGATGGGGCTTGCTGTGAGCTCTGCCCCAGGAGTGAGAGCCCACCCCGGATTTACTCTTTGAGGGCTCTGCCGCGCCCCTGCGGTGCGGTACCGGGCAGCACGTTAACTCCTGGCACTGCCCCTGTAACTCCGCCATCTCTGCTTCTGTATTCCAGAAAACGGCCCCTGCCTGGGGTTCAGGAAGCCCAAGCAGCCCTACCAGTGGCTGTCCTACAAGGAGGTGAGCTGGATATGACGTCCCCCGCAGAGTCCTCTCACCCTGCCCGGCAGAAGAAGGGGCGTTAAGGCGCCCGTCGGTAACATGCACGGGCTAGACCAGGAGGTCGCTAACGCGCCGTGCAAGGGCTCTTGGTTTCCCCAGCCGGGCACATCCCGGTGTTGTACGGGGGTGTTGGCTTTTGGGGACCGGCTCGATGTCTTTAGTCCGCTCCTGACAGCGGCACTGACGCTAAAAGCTGTAGGGCATTGCCAGCCAGAGCTCAACTGCTAGTCAACTACCAATGGCTTGTGATAACATAAAAAATTGGGCTTTCAGAATAGCAAATACAATAATTTGAGAGCCTTCCTGTATAAGCTAGGTCTTCACATAGTTTGGTATTGCTTATATTTCTCTTTTTTATGTATTTTTTTTATCTCCAAATTCCAGGTGGCTGAAAGAGCAGAAGCTCTGGGTTCAGGGCTTCTTCAGCAGGGCTGCAAGCCATCCACAAAGCAGTTCATTGGGGTCTTTGCTCAAAACCGTCCAGAGGTGAGATTTGAAGTTCAGCTTGAGTGAGATTTGAAGTTCAACTTGATGCTGTATTAATAATGTTCCTGACTTGTGAGTTTACTTGATACTTGAAGCTTGTTCTCAAGTGTGTTAAATCTGCTTCCATGACCCCCTTCTCACCTTCGTGCTTTGATGTCCTCCTGCAGTGGATCATTTCTGAGCTGGCTTGCTACACCTACTCCATGGTGGTAGTTCCTCTCTACGATACTTTGGGTCCTGGGGCCATTCGTTACATCGTCAACACAGGTAAAACCAAAATTGATGTAATCTTCTCAGAAACCATTTTTGTTGCTCAGAATGGTCCTTTTTCTTCTGCTTTCCGCAAGAGGGGGGGATTTCACTTGTGGAGTGTCTTGAAGTCACTTAGAGAGGTTTCTGGGGAGCTGTGTCCCCACACGCTAGGTCAGGGCTGCCTCTGCTGCATTTCCCACGTGCTTGGTCATGCACAGCTGTGGATGGGGCTGCTCTGACAGTGGGAATTACTCCGGGATCACCTTGTTTGACTTCTTTTCTTCCAGCTGACATTTCCACGGTCATTTGTGACAAACCTGAAAAAGCCAGAATACTCCTTGACCATGTGGAGAGGAGAGAAACGCCAGGTCTGAGCTCCATAATCCTGATGGACCCATTTGAGAAGGAGCTGACGGAGCGAGGGAGTCGCTGTGGGGTTCGCATCCAGACCATGCAAGAGGTGGAGGTAAGTTTGCTCTCCCTCTCTTGTCACTGTATTTTTGTGATTTCTGTAGAAAGACATATACATATATGTCATATATATTATACATATACAATATACAGGGAACTGTGCGGCAGGTTCAGTGTCTGGAGAGCACAACAGAGCAGCTTGTGGCTGTTCATATTGATGCATGGCTCGGTGCAGTTGCCTCTTAAGTGTTGACAGGAGCCAACATTTCAATCCTTCCTGCTCAAATAAAGTATCAGATGCTACCAGCTGCCCGGAAAGGGGGGTTGCTGTTTGAGACGCTGTCCTCCTACCTGTAAGCCTACAGCCTTACACTTTTATGGAACAGCCTGGATCCAGCTCAACCAAACCAATCCATTGCAGTTGATGCAAGAAAGTTTGGACAGAAAAGATGACCTAAGTGAGAGCCACAAATTTTTCTGCTCTAGCTCACACGCTCCCTTAGTGGTTTGCAGATCATTAGCGAGTAGGTTACACCACAGGAATGAAAGTGGAAATCATTTTTGTTACTTTAATCTCTTTCAGGACTGTGGCCTTGAGAGTCGACACGTGCCTGTGGTGAGTGCTGGCGTGCTGCTTCTCCCCCTTTCAACTGCAGCTGGCTGCCTTACATTTATTTCATGGACAGAAGAGGAAAGGGTTTGCTCTGGGCAGAAGGGAGCCTGCCTGTGTTCGGGGCAGTGCCCCGTCACCCTCCCCATGTGGAGGAGCCCAGGGGCTGTCAATACCATCCGCTGGGGATGTGCAGTATTTGCTTCATACCTTCCGCCTGGGACACTTAACTGGGAGAGTTCATCCTTGCTGAACATGTTAATGGGACAGTAATTAAATGCCCTTGTTAAGCCATGCTAATTCCACTACCGTACCCAGCTGGCACTGGGGGAATATGTTTGCACCCCTGGCTTTCTGGTGGGGTTTCTATAGCTCAGAAACACTTCTTGGCAATATTTCTCTGGGATATTTTTGGAAAATGGCATTGATATTTTTCACTGGCTGCTCATACTCCTGCAAAACTTTTGAAAGGAGCCTCTGATTTTCAGGCCGCTTATTTATTTGTTCATGACCCAAAATCGCACGGACGCGTCGTGGTGCTGAGAATACAGGGATACTGTTGGAAATGGGAGCAATCGGCAGCTTGGGAAAGTTGTCCCCTATTGTGGACAATCACACGTTTCCAGAATTTCTCTGGAAATTGGTAAATTATCTCACGTTTTCCCCCACACCTACAGGTCTAGATGGTGTCTTTGAAAATTTTAACTGCAAGGCAAATATTCCGTCAAAGTGTTCTTACGCTAAAGCATGCCCTTAATGCAGCCTAGAGCAAAACATAAGGGAGGGATAGAGTCTGCATCAACAGAAGAAACCTGATAAAAAGAGTTTTATATTGGCTAAGGGGGAATGAAAGCTTTTTATGGCAGAGCTGAAATAGAATTGATCTTTCAGTTTATACAATGACAACAGTCTACCGTTGACCCTTCTGCATTTGACTGATGTGATTTTCTTATTCTCCTTGTGTATTTCTAGCCTCCTCGACCAGAAGATCTATCAATTGTCTGTTTTACTAGTGGCACTACAGGTAAAAGAAGAAGCGTTTTAATCTTGAAATGTTAGAATAGGTTATCAATTATTAATACCACCTCAATATGTGCTAACTTGCTGCTATACTGATATGGCAGTGATATTTCTATGCAGTTTTTAATATTTAAGTATATATATGTATATACATTTCTGTAGATGGCAAATTAAAAATAATGACGTATTCATTTTTCACTTGGATTCCCAACATACCCTTTGGCAGTACGATTTTCTGGTTGTCTGGAAGCCTACTCATGTTTCTGCTTCACATTTTGCAGTGTAGCTGTGAAGCGCTTGATTAATTTGTATTTGTCTTCTGTAAATATTTAAAAAAAAAAAAAAAAGAGAAATGTGGGTCCACAGCTTTCCGTTCTCTGTATCCTAAGCACACCAATGTCCCCAGCCCCACCAACGTCCTCGGCACCTCTGTCTCCTCTGCAGCATGCCGCAGCTTGCTCGTGTCTTGCCCATCAACTCGGGTTGGCCCCAGGGCACCACATTCCGGGGCAGGCTCGGGGACGAGCCAGGGCAGCCCACGCTGCTGGTACTCGCATGCTGCTGGCCCCTTTTTCTTGGAGACGAGCGGCATCGTTTTCTGGTCTGCTCTTAGCAGATGCAGTGCTTTCTCCTCTTGCCAGACCCTGGTTCTTATACAGCTTGCAGGAATTTCCTACTCTTGAGAATTCAACCTTCGTAACATCAACCGAAAAACTGTACAGGCAGCCGGCGCAGATGCACAGGGCACGATTGCTTGGGAAACTGCTCTTGTGCTTGCCTGCAGGGAAGCCTGCTGGAGCAGCTCTTCCAGGTTCACCTGTGCTCTCAGGATTGCCCAAATCTTGGTCCTACCCCAAAGCATCCTCAATTTGGCTGCCACTCATTTGGGCAAGCAGAAGATGCCGCTTGACACCAAGCTGCCCTCCAAGGAGGGAGTTGCGTGTGGTACTCTGGCTGCAGAGCGCAAAGCCTGCGGATTAGGCTGAGCAAGAGGGGACATCTTCATCTTCCACCTCCTGGAGAAGACTTGTACTGAAGATCAGGTAGGCAACTGTTTTTCCAACTCCAAGTGCAAACTCAAAATGTATTGAAAGGCTTTGGGTTTTTTACCTTCATGCATCATTCTTAGTTTTGAGATCTATGTGCTTTGGAGTACCCGAGGCAGCACACTGTGTGGAAGGAGTCTGTGACTCTGCTCTGTCTCAGCAGTGGGAATTCCTAAAAAGATTGAGCCCAGTGCAGGGTATGGACATCGCAGCCATGCACGCTGGGAGCGCCAGCTCTGCCAGTACAAAGTGGCCAGGCACAAATGGGAGTTGTAGGAAACCAAAAGAGCTACGCCTATGGATATGGTGGAGCACAATTTGTTTGCGTGGCTTTTAAAGTGCAGAAAAATTATTTTTTCAAGTCACATTTTTGTTGATATTTTTATTTCTGTCATGGTTTAACCCGGCTGGCAACTCAGCACCACGCAGCCGCTCGCTCACGCCCCCCTCCCTCAGTGGGATGGGGGAGAGAATCGGGAAGAAAATAGAAGGTTAGAGCCGAGGGCTGAGCCAGCGCGCGACCCGACAAACCCCCCCCCGAGCATGACGTTCTATGGTCTGGAATAGCTCTTTGGTCAGTTTGGGTCAGCTGTCCTAGCTGTGCTGTACTCCCAGCTTGTTATGCCCCTGGCCGAGCAGGAGAAGCTCAAAAAGTCCTTGAGTGGTCTGAGCACTACTGGGCAACAGCTGAAAACATCAGTGTGTTACCAACATTCCTGTAGTACTAAATCCAAAACACAGCACTATGCTAGCTACTGTGAAGAAAATTAATGCTATCCCAGCCGAAGCCAGGACAATTTCTAAATAAGAAATTCTGAATAGAGGAGGGTTTCTCGATTTTCTTTTTTTTTATTTGCAAAAGCAGTCGTGGGCCTGTTTCTGACTTTGTGCTTTTTTAGGAACATGTCTGATGGTACAGAAATAGGACAGCTGGGAAGCTCATTTGCTTTCCCCCACCCAAACCAGAGATTTCATGTTCTGCAGGTTATCAGCAAGCTGAACTCTCGTAGAGCAGTGCTTTGTGAGCCACCAGCCCATCCTCTGCTGCCGGAGGGCTTTGCACATCACTTGCTGGCTTTTCCAGGGGTTGCATCAACACTCTGGTCTGTTTTCAATGTTGTTTTGATGTAAAAGGTATGGCTTGTGTATAGCCCATGTCAGGATATTTTTAAGGACCAGATGTAGAATTTTTGTCCAATGGATATGTTCTCAAGGGCTTTTTCAATTCTGAAGGGCTCCAAATATTTTTGTATGGTGTGAAACAAATCTTCACTAAGGAGTTTGTAACCTGGAAATTGTAGAATTGAAAAGAATTTTAGCTGTTTATAAAAAAAAAAAAAACACCAAACCCAGAAGCGGGCTTTAATGTGTGCTTTCCTTTGATAGGATCAGATGTCTAAATGCCTCCACAGGCTGAAGGGAGAGACTGAGATTGCCAAGCTCAGATCACAAGACCAACTTTTATTGTTGTACCAAGAAATCATCAGCGCTCATAAAGGGCCAAAGGCACAGGGATATCCCCAAAACCATCAGGATACAATTTTTCATGCTGGCTACTCCAGAGAAGCAAACTGTCATTTCCTCAAGGATCCACCTGTAACCTGGATAAAAATTCCTTCCCAGGGGTTTCTCGCAGCCTGCCAGTGAACATCCCTGACTCCCAGAGGCTCCCGGGGTGAGGAGAGCCCTTACATCCCAAAACGCTGATGGATCACACCACCGAGCTAGTGCTGGAGGTGCTACCTCAAAGACCCATTTAGCGACGTGGCAAAGGTTCTTCTCTTGCTTAGGAGAACTTTCAACCCAGCTTGGCGCTGAGATAAGGAGGAGTTACCATGCCCGGGCTATTAACTGAGCGGGATCGCAGCGCACCCGTTTCCGTAACAGGGCACTGACAAGATGTGCCTTTACAAGGAAATCCAAACGTGAGAGCGGTGTTACAGATCGGGCATGGATTTTTATGAAAAGCACAACAGTATCACTGCCAACCTTTTTCTCTTGAGGTGGTAATACTGGGAAAGGGCTCATGGCAAAGGGCACCGTTTTGCTGGGTTAACTCTTAAAACAGAAGAACTAAAGATGGTCAAATTTTACAGGTATCTCCCAGCCTCAAAAGCTCCAGCTCCCCTGTGGCAGCATGGTTTGTTCTGGATTTCTCCCGGTGAAGGCTATCCTGGCTCTACCGCTGCTGCTCTGCTTTGACACCATTAGCACCACGGCCTGCCTGGGATGCTGAACCTGCTGCAGGCAGAGCCGGGATGTTCACACTGCTGCCAGGCACCTTGTGGTGATTTGAGCAGAGGTACCAACTTTGCATTTAAAAAAAAAAAAAAAAAAAAAAAGGTCAGAGGTGGAGTAAAGAACTGAGCCTGAGGTCTCAAAGCATCTGAGAAATCTTCCAAAAAAGTCTGAAGAGCTGTGTCAAGGTTCAAGAGCCAGATCTGCTGCTGGTAGAGCCAGAGGGTGCAGGTTTTGAATTTCCAAACCAGTACTGAGCACGTCCTCTCCACCGGTGTGTGACCTGCGGGGCTGCCAACACGGAGGAACTTGTGCAATGCTGCAGGAGTATGGCTACGTGTAGAACCGCGGGGGCTGAGCCCACTTATTTGGCGAGACACAACTAAGATAACATGAGCAGTTTCTGTGTCATTGGCGCATGTTTACAGTTGACATTGGCTCATGGAATTTTCTTGAGGTCTGGATCCACGTGTGTGCCCAGCTGTGAAAATAAGCACCTCGAAACGAAACCTGCCTGGCTGAGCTGGCGCCCGCGAGCCTGGCTCTACGGCACGTTAGGACAGGAGCAGCAGTGGGTGGAGAAGACGTCAGCCCTAGCTTCGCCTCTGCGCTTCGGAGGGATACGAATGTGAGAGCAAAGTAGCTCCTGTGCACTGTGTTCATCTGGAAGTATTTGGGACTGGATTACTCAAAGGCGCTTGGGACACCACATAGGGATTTTCAGTGAAATACATTGTGTGCAAAATGTCCTGCTTTAGTACAATAAATGTGTGCCATAATTGCGACTTTTGTTTGGGCCTTTATTTAATTATTCGAGAGACGGGGTAGAAGCGATGTCAGTGAAGCTGGCAGGGCACAGGGCTCGGCATGGGGGTGCGTGCCCACGCTGAAGGGCTGCCAGCAACGCAGCCTGCAAGCTGCTCTGAAACCGGGAGGATTGAGCCTATTTTCCTCTGTTGAAACCGATTCACAAAACACCATTGCCCCCTTCCTAATCTGAGGAAGCCGGAATGAAATTGGGGCTGATTTACAGTTTTGCAAGGCTCTTGCATCCATCATTAACTGTAAGAGCGCTGCAGAGCTCCTGTGCCCGCCGTGCCGGGGCAGGCAGGGTACCAGGGTACCTGCAGGTGAAGCTCCTCTGATCCGCTTCCGCACGGCGCAGCGGGAGCTACGCTCCCGGGGCGTGATCGAATTAAAACAATCTGCTTAAAGACACGCCGGAGAGAGAGGCTGGCCCTGTAACCTTTATTCGAGCCAAGCTACGCCTTCTTTTTGGAAATAAACCCTTTGAGGGTGATGCAAGGGGACAGCGCTGCAGGCAGGGCCTTTCGGACGGGGCCCTGGGCTCTGGTTTGTGCGCCCGGAGGTTTCAGCCTGCACCTTTGCTGTTTAACAGGAATTTTGGCGTACAAACAGATACGAAATGCAAAAGATGTCTTATGGTGCGAGGGGGGATTCTCAGCTCAGAAAAGAGGGCGAAAAAGCAAATCCTGCCAGCGTGGAGCTGTCTGCGCGGGCGGGCGGGCGGCGAAACGCGGCAGGCGCGGTGCCAAGCGCTGGGGTGATGCCTTGAGGCTTTGCCAGCTCCCTGTCCCCATCTCCAGGACACCTCTGCTCTGCTGCTGACAATATTAATGACTTCCCTTAATTGCAGGCTCATAGGGTTGTCTTGTAGCCTAATTTTTACCATGTATTGCCTTGTTTTCTGCCTTGCTCAGGTTTTTCAGCGCGCTGGCTAACAGCTTTACAGCCTTTTTAAATGGGGTTTGGTGGTATTCGAGATCACTCTTAGTTCAAAATCCGTGTGAAATAAATGCTACCTGGAGAGGCTGGGAGCCGCCAGCCAGGTCTGATGGCCGTGCTTCCCATGCAGCTCCAGCCGAGTGCTCTCCTAAATTGCCATCAGGCTATTTCTGGTGGAAACTGTTGTTCAGAGTCTCCGATAGAAATGTTCATGTTATACTGTGTTTACCTTAAAGCGTCTTTTCCTTAAATTTTGAGGATTGCAATGAGTGGGTTTGGTGCATGTTACTGCACAGAAGTGACTGTGAAAATTACATAAGTCTTAAAATTCAAAAAGCGAACTCAATATTTTAACCATTTCCTGGTTTGGTTTTTGTTAAGCTTTTGGAAATTACCTGCTGGCTCACCTTTTAAAATCACTCTTTGTTTCCTTTCAGGAAACCCCAAAGGTGCTATGCTGACCCATGGGAACGTGGTTGCTGATTTTTCAGGCTTTTTGAAAGTGACGGAGGTGAATACCCTGATTTAGAAAATGTTGCCATGTGCAGAGTGTGTGGGTTAAGCTGCATCCCTGCACGGGCTGGAAATGTGCTCCTGCAGACGAGAAGGGAAATTTCTCTTACTCACAGGGCCAAAATCCATGGAGATGGGAGCAGGTCTGAGCCTACAGCACTGGAGGGCCTTAAATCCCCTTTTCCAGCACTGGCTCCCTGGCTCTGTAAGGCTCAGGGTGCTTCTGAGGAGCAGTGCTGGCTCCTGTAGATCAATTAAGGCCTTTCAAAGAATTAGGAAAGCAAACAAGTCCTGTACAGTTGAACTGGTGCTTCAAACAGGTTACAGGCTCCACTGCTAAGGATGCCCCCACAATGTCATCCTCATTGATTTGAAAGCTTTCTGCATATAAAGTGTGTATATAGAATATGTTTTTACAAGAATGGTTCATTTCATTGATATCAACGTATATCTCCGTTTCCGTTATACATATTTTTAAAAAGCATCGCGCTGGCTAAGGACACGTAGAGGATGTTCCATGCAATGCATAAACTTGTGTTTAGAAGCAATATAGGAAGCAGAATTGCTTTAGCACAACGTGTTAAGGTTTATATGCAGCTCGTACCTAACAAATACAAAGATTTTTTTTTTTTTTGTAGTAAACAGGCAATTCTATAAAGTAGCGATGTACGCATGGGATGGACAATTTTCTACCTTATACCCCTTGCTGCTCTTATCATTGGTGCTGAAAATACTGCAGTCTTATTACCTCAGTCCTTGAACTTTCTGCAATTTCCAGAGCACCGTTGTAAAAAACTTGGACACGTGATGTGAGAAATCCCCCGGAACTCACGTGTTCAGATGTTTGCAGGGTTGTGACTCCAGGAATTTGCAGTGTGAGATGGCAATACAGCAGTTTGCTGCAGCGAGCCCTCGGGCTCGGCAGCGCAGAGCTTTCGCGGGGTTCGGAGGCAGCGCGATGCACGAGTGAAAGCCGATGCATAGATAGGTCTGAGTTTCAAAGGGCAGGAACGTTTATTTTGGAAGAGAACTAATTTAGAGGGAGCTGAGAGAACTTGGCATCTTCCAGGACTGGCCCACAGAAGTGGATTTAGTGTTCACTGACGGCAATGGGACACTCTGATTAATCTCGAAGGTATCAGACTGAGACGTAAGTCTGGTGTAAGTAAATTCAATAAATGCAGTTAATGCGATAGCTTCAGCCACCAGCGGTTGTTGGTGAGAGCGTAAACGCCGATTGCTGACCCACACGATGAGGGCGATGTGTACCCACAGCAGTGACATCGAGCAAAGTGCAAAACACATGAAAGTGGGATCAATTACTGAAACGGAAAGTACTGGGAAGTACTGTAGAGTTTCTGTTTATATATTCCTGTGCTGGTTTTGCTTAGTTCAGTGATTTTTATAAACGGAACATTTTTTGAAGTGAACCTAGAGCTTTGTTATAAGGTTGTTCTGAAATGCCAAGGAGCTGTTTTCAGTTTTCTGTTTAACTGGACAACTGTGCCAACGGTGAAATGATATTCAATGTCACCATTTTGGTTCAATATAAAACCAAATCATTTATTGTCTGGGCACTTAAAGCAGTGTAAAAAGAAAAAAAACAACAACAACAAAAAGCAGCCTAGCTAGTGATGCTAATGGTTTTACATTACTGTGCTTGCAGAAAATGAGGCCAATTTGAAATAATGTATGAATAGATCTGCAGGCCCTAATGGCTTCATTCAGACTGACACATGAAATAGTATGAAACGGGATGCTGAAAACACCCACGTGGTCAATGGTGTTTGACTTCACTCGGTAATGGTTGGGGGGCATACCCAGATCCGAGTTGCCCAGATTTAACTCCAATAAAATATTCCCCAAGGAAGAAAGTCCTGTGCCTCCATCCACCGCCGTGTCCCAGGTCACGGACTATCGATTCTCTCACAGCAGTGGAGATGCAAAGTGGGTATAAACTGCGAATACTGCGAGCTAATAGATTTTATACCCATTTTCCACTAACCACTGGCTTTGGTGCAAGTTATTGGGTAATGAAGCTTTCAGTTTTTCTAATCCATAATATTACAGCAAGCCTTACCCTTGGAAATGCAGGTGGAAAGGCTACTTTTCTTTTGGGGCATGCATCAGGTAAGGCTCTCGGGGCCTTGGTTTATCCCAGCCTGCGAGACAGAGCTAAAACCTCGGCAAACTGAAGACTTTGGTCGTTTTTATTTTTCACATAATTTATCCAGCCTTCTTTTTCCCCGCTGCCCTGCCTGTCTGTGGGGTGGTGATAATGCCCTTAAAATCACATTTTAATCCCTTAAAATGATGAGAAGCACTAACATAAATCATTCATTTTTGCAGCTGAAAAAAAAAATCATTAATTTTTCCAACGTATTCTGATTCAAATCAATGATTAACCTAAGGAAAAGATCAAATCTGTAGCTCTGACTGTGAATTCTGAGGGGCTCTGTGCGGTGGGGAGCAGTGGTGTGCCCGGAGAGCCCCGCTGGTTTCCAGGGGGCTCCTGCAGGTCTGCCCCCCTGAGAGTGCAAATTGTGGTCGTAAGCACCTCAGGGTAGAAAGGGATGAATACAAAGTGGGTGCTGGGTCAGGGTGAGCCTCTGTTTCCAGCGTGAGCTGTGTGGATACGATACGCCTTCTGCCATGGAGAGACCTCTCCGTTGCCCTCTGTGTACATCTCCGTGCTCTTCACTCCTCCTGCTAACCCGGCTCCATTGACGCTGTGGCTTAACGCTTCACTTCGTACGCTGCTCCCTTCCTCTCTCGACAATCTTTCCCCTTTTGCTCCTCTGGTGCCATTTTTCTTTTTATTGTTTTATGACTTTCTTGTTGTCTTCCTGTCAGTGTTTCTTTCCTTTCTGTCTCCCATGCCCTTCACCTGCAGAAAGTGATCTTTCCGAGACAGGACGATGTGCTCATCTCCTTCCTGCCTCTGGCTCACATGTTTGAAAGAGTTATACAGGTAAGAAACCTGCCTGAACTGACGAGGCCTCGTGGGGCTCCTTGTGTTTTCTTCCAGAGTCAGTGGTCTCCTACTTGTGAGGATGTACACATTTCCTATTTGCCTTTAGCACACATGTTTGAGAGAATGGTACAGGTAAGGTCCTAGTGTCAGTGGAAATCATCTTTTTCCACAAAAAAAAAAAAAAGAATAAAGTACTAAATAACCAGCGATATCTTGTTAGCACTAAAAAAGCTTGTATCCAGAAGTGCCACGTGCGTAACACCAGGGCCCGACCTCTGGTCTCGGTGACATGGCTGTTGAGCCCAGAGCGATTCCAGGAGACTTTCCCAAGCTCTCCAGCTTACACTGGTGGCTCGGAGGTTGGCAAAGACCAGCAGAAACTGCTACCTGCACGATTCTGGGGGCCGCTTTTCAAAGCACTCTAGGGTCAGATATCATGGGAGTAAAAATAATTTCGTGCCATTTTCCACATCAGCTAAAATCTTTTTATTGCACTAAATAACCAGATCTGCAAAAAAAAAACAAACCCAAAAAACCAAACCCCCAAATGACCCCTTGCAGACACTGAAAAAGAGGAAACTAAGATTGTGGGGTGACACACGGGACCCTCCTGGCAGGGCAGCATTCGGTGGGCATTAACTGGAAGCCAGGGGTCCCTGGAAATAACGGCACATAGAAGTGCTGGCTCCTGCCAGCCTGCAGAACTGACTTTGCACATCTCTTTTTTTTTTTTTCTGCAAAAGGCAGGTGGCAATTTGTGCTGCAGTCGGTGCGTTGGGCAGGTGGGGCGGTCACGTCCCTTCCCCTGGCCTGAGAAGCTGCCAACTAAAAAACTGCTCTAATATCCGAAGCCTGGATCTGGATTCGGTTGCAGCGCTGTACTTTCCCAGGGAGGGCTGGTTCGGGCTGAAAGCACAGTTTTTGAGTCAGATAAGCGTCTGAATGTAAGCCTCCCACTTCTCAGTAACGGCTCTGCCAGAAATAATATATTCTGCCCTGTTAAAAAACTTGCAAATTGGAAGTGAAAGTCCATGAAAGATTTGGAGAATTACAGCCCAGCCTATTTTAACTTGTAAGTCTAATTTTAAAAGGCAAGGTGGTCAGCATGGCACCGCTATTCAGGCAATCTGCTTTGCCAGCAAACAGGAATATAATCATTAAAAAGTCATCTGATGGGGGGGAAACAAAAATATTAGAAACATTTCAGATAACCTCATTTCACAGGGTGTTGCCATATGGAAAGGGGCAGGCCTCTGAGGAATGTTCAAGTTTATCCTGTCTGCTAAAAAAGCTCGCTAATATGAAGATTTTTTTCAAAAGGGCTAAAAAATATTTTTCAAAATGATTCTGAACAGCAAGCACGGTGTCAGCTTCCCTAGTTTTAGCCAACATTAGTGGTTCCTGGAACTTAAGAGTTACACAGATGCATTCTTTAAAGCTAAAAATTTCTAGAAACTATTTATAATTCCCAGCAGGCACACTGATGATATTTTCCTTTTTTTATTTTCCTAATTCATGTGCTTGCGCAGTGTCAAACACAGATTTGGCAGTGTGATGTTCGTTAACCCCGCAGCACATGTCTAAAATTCCTGTGGTTTCAGTTGATGGAGAGACAGTCTCTAGTGGGTCGGCAGAGCGGGGAGCGCGCCGGTCAGTATTGTGGATTTTTAGAAGTAGCACAAAAAAGACTTAATGTCTCGAGAAATTTTTAACTGGTTTAGTTATCTGAGGGAGAAAAGTTGACCGAAGGGAGCTGTTCTCTGCCAGCCCCTTGGGGATCTCAGAATAGTCAGTGTCCTGGGCTGGGCTCAGGAAAGCTGGGCTTAGGAAAGCTGGGCTCAGCTCCCAGCATCACGGGTGCTTTGCGGAGGATGCCTTCTCCTGCTCGCGCTCCAAAAGCAGGGTGGGGATGCTGGTCTCACAATGCTCTCCAGTGATATAAAATACCAGTTTTTACCAAGTTAGTGACCAGTCCTTTGCAGTGTTAGTGGCTGGGGAAAAAAAGCCTGTCCCGCCCGCCACCCCCGCGGGCAGGCCCCCTGCCCTGCCCGGTCCCGCACATCCAGCTCTATTCCCATCTGACCCAGGTGGCCTGTTCTCCTTCCAAGTACGAAACTTCTGGATCTGTAGTTTCCGTACAAGTAAAGCACCTTTTATGAAGTGAGCTTTTATTTCTGGGATACAGGATCAGGCACTGTATCACTAACGTAGTCTGTATTGTTGTATTTAAACAAAACTAAAGTATTAACATTTAAAAAGCGGCTGCTGCCCGGTGCATTTTACGACATTTCTTAATACGCATTCCTTTATCGGCAGTGGGTCCTCACGCTGTGAGCTGCTATGGTGGGTCTGGGCTCCAGAGGAGAAGTTCAGATCCAGAATCTGACCATAACTCAGGCTTCTCCATCCCCATGTGCAGGGGATGAAGGGAAATCCCTTCTAAAAGCCTTGGTTCCTTGTTCTTCCAGAAATTTGGTGGATGCTGGATTGCAGCATTGAAAAATGCCCAGAACTACCCATATGTTTCTCTTCAGTGCAAAATTTTGGGTTACATTTATATATATTTCCAAAGTCCCATTTTTGCCTTACTGGGAGTAGAATTTCAGGGAAGGCACTTCTGGGCTTGGGAGGGATGCTCTGCCATGGGAATTAACAGCAAAGAGGTTACACGTGTTCCTTCTTCTTCCCCTCAGTCTGTAGTCTACTGCCATGGAGGGCGAATTGGGTTCTTTCAAGGGGATATTCGTCTCTTATCTGACGATATGAAAGCGTTGCGTCCAACCATCTTCCCTGTCGTGCCGCGGCTGCTGAACAGGATGTACGATAAGGTGAGTTTAATTCTGCTCTTTTTGTAAATACGAAAGTTTACGTCCCTTTAGTACTTCTGCGAAAGCATTCCCTTAGTCAGGGTGCTTTCCCGAGCGGATTACAGTTTCTGCTCTACTGCAAATGCGTCCTTGCCCTGTGTCACTGATAGAGCTGCTCCATCTCTAAGTCTGTATTATGTTGATTTACACAGAGTGCAGACGTGGCTATCGCATGTTAATATGAAATCCCTCTGCGTTAGCCTCTTACCCTGTTCCCGCTGAGGTTACTGGTGACATTTCCAGAGAGAAAGGATTTTTTCATCAGAGAAACACCTGACGAACCTGGGTGCACTAGGACTTTTTGTGCCCTTCAACCGGTTTTGGAACATGAATCTCTTTCTGGTGGCAATGACAAAAATCAGGAACTGCAAAAAAGACTCTGAGGATTTAGGCAGTGTAAATATGAGGTTGGCTTTTGGATCTAGAAATCTTTAAAACTAAGAGATGTTCTTGAAAGGTATTTAAGACAGACATGTCTGGTCATCACGTTAAATCTGTTTGACCAGCTGGGAATATTTATTCCTCAGAAGACTTATCCTCTGAAGATGGGCTTAAGCACAAGTTACTGATTCAATTTTTCCCCAAGGTCAGGACTTGTCAAGCACTGGAAGGGGCTGCCCAGGGAAGGGGTCGAGTCCCCATCTCTGGGGGTATTTAAAAGCCGGGCAGATGAGGTGCTTAGGGACAGGGTTTAGTGGTGGGACGGCAGGGTTAGGGGAACAGTTGGGTTTGGTGAGCTTAAAGGGCTTTTCCAACTTAAATGATTCTATGACTGTTGGATCAGGGGTTCTGGTGCCTCATCAGAGGGATGGGCACTGGGGGTTTCTCATTTGCAGGGATGTAGTTCATGCTGGTGTCTGATTAAGCTCAGATAAACGCAGCCCCCATCACCTCATCAGCCAGCACTGAGACCTGCTCTAGCTGCCAAGTGTCCACAGTACTCGTTCCTAGTTGCTCAGATTGCATGATTCCACTGAATCCTATCGTAGAAATGATATAGAAACACCAGTCATGTAAATCTAGCCAAAACCTACCCTATCATCCTCCCTCCTTTCCCCCCAAAGGAACAGAATGTACAATAGTGAATGGAGTGAAAAAAACCAATCCATTTTTTTTAACCCAATAAAAAAACCCCATAGCGTAGGCTTATTTAGCTGTACTGCTAATGTAACTACACCCTGCCTGGCACCGGCGGACCTGCGTAGCTGTGATTGTGAGAGCAGTTTTTGCTGTTTTCTCTCCCTCGGGCGCCGGGCTGCCTGCCGCCCCGCTCTCCCGCAGATCTTCAGCCAGGCAGACACGTCCCTCAAGCGCTGGATTCTGGAATTTGCTGCAAAACGGAAAAAGGCTGAAGTTCAAAACGGGATCATTAGAAATGACAGCTTGTGGGATAAACTTTTCTTTAATAAAATACAGGTAAGGAATTTAAGACGTGACTCTAACGTCAAAGAACTGCCATTTCTTCTAGCAATGACTGGTTTTCCTTAAAGTCGGTGTGGTCCGCTTGCCTGACAGTGAACTGCGGGCACTAGGAAAAATTTTGGACATTAGGCAATTTTGGACACTAGGAAAAATTTCTTCACTGAAAGGGTTGTCAAGCACTGGAAGGGGCTGCCCAGGGAAGGGGTCGAGTCCCCATCCCTGGAGGGATTTAAAAGCCGGGCAGACGAGGTGCTTAGGGCCAGGGTTTGGGGGTGGGATGGCAGGGGTAGGGGAAGGGTTGGGCTTGGTGATCTTAAAGGGCTTTGCCAACCTAAACGATTCTGTGATTCTGGGATTCAACTGCTACTCACTAGCAAACAGCAGACTGAAAATTTAAAATGAAATAGGAAGTGGAGCACAGTTTATTGTTTCATTAATTTTTGCCACACTTATTTTTGTTTAGGTATTTATTTTTAAACTCCATGCATAAGATGCCCAAATTTCAGGTCTCTTAGGGATAGTTTTCCAGATGGGAAGGGAGAAACACGAGGCAGCCTAAGATGGTTTTTTTCCACATCCCTCCTTTGGCAGCACCGAGAAATCACCTATTTGCAAATAATGCCTATTTATTGTGGCTCTTGGATACCAGCTGTGCCCCTGCACCGGCACTGAGGAGGGCCGTGATGCGGCGCAGAGGCTCTTGCCCTCTGCCAGGTGAAGCTGCCCAGAAGCGGGATCGCAGCCGCCTGCCTGACACCAGGGCTGCCAACACCGCCTTTGGTACCTGGGTGCTCTGCCTTGCGGGGACCGGGCACCCACTGCAGTTTCTCCCTGCTCACACCCAGTGATGGGCAGGAGAGAGGAGTGCATTAAACCCACTCCTGTCTCTTCCCAGTGGGGATGAAATTCAGGAAGGTGGCCAGGAAAAGGAGACGTTGCTCCAAAGTTTTCTGCAAATCCTCTATAGAGAAGATTGGATTTTGGGCTGGGTTTCAGTTGGGCATATTCAAAACTGGTTTCTTTCCTAGGAAAAGAAGAGTAAGAGTGTAGAGAAAAATGCACAAGTAAATCACCATTTAACAACAGGGGGAAGAGATCAAAATGCCCTGCTGTGTGCCACACATCTCCTTATGGAAAAAAAAGATTAAATTTGCTATAAACCAGGCTTTCCAGGCACTGTACTGCCCCGGGAGGCTCTGATTACTTCATTTTTTTTAATTGGATAACTTATTTGGAGCCGCGCCACTTTATTTTTAACTAAAGAAACCGACTGTACTTTTCATCTGTGGATTAGTTGTCGTCAGCCTGCTAAGATTGCAGAGTTCACCCACTGCTGCCGGGAGCGCAGACGGGAGGCGAGGCGGGCTGCATATTGATTCGGGATCTGGCGAGACTGGCAGGCTCGGTCAGGAGTTGTTCTCTTTTGTTCTGGGCTTTCTTTTTACTTTTGGAATAAGAAAAAGGAAAGGAAGAGGGGAAACAAGAAGCGAAGCGTGACACAGGAATTGATGTAATGCCCTTCAGAAATAACTGAAGGTCATCTGCCTTCCAGGGACAGCATGATTTTAGATGGCTTGGGACCCAATTCATTAAAAATGACGAGGTGCAAATAAGCAAAGAAAACTGGGGAGGGGGGGGAGGAGGTCTGGTTTTTACCCACAGTTCCCCAAAATCAAGAGGTGCGCCTGCACAGGCAGCCGCAGGAGTAGAGGCTGAGCAGCTCATCCTCTGAGAGATGTGGGACTTCCCCCCCATACATCGCATGGTTTTCTTTTGGGGCACTGTTTCTACCTGCGAGGGACACAGTTACTGCTTTTATGGTTTAGCTGGCTTCTTATCCCTAAGGCAAGACTCAGAGCCAGTTCATATTTCCATAGCACGGCTGCATCTATTCTAGAGAGAGCATTTTGTGCGAGTTCTGCATAAGCAATGCTCACGGATGCCGCTGGTTTTGCCGTCTGTAATGATCTGTGATGCTTTCTTTTGGTTTCTCCTGCTATCAAACAGGCGAGTCTTGGCGGGTGCGTTCGCATGATAGTGACAGGCGCTGCCCCTGCGTCTCCGACCGTCCTGGGCTTCCTCCGTGCAGCCCTCGGGTGTCAGGTGGGCTTGCGCGGCTGCTTGGAGGCGTTCATTTGCTGACCGGTAGGAAATGCACTGCGTTTAAGAAAAGAGATGGGTTAGGACCTCAGAACCACATTTGGGACAGCTTCACCGGGATGGATCTGGCAGCAGCTGCAGGGCTTGGAGCAGGCGCAGAGCCCTGGTGTCCCCGGAGCTCTGCCCCCGCAGCCCTGGGGCTGGACTGGGAATGACTGGTGGCCCTGGGAAGCCAACAGTGGCCAAGCGCCGCTTTTGCTGCTGGCAGCTGCCAAAAAAAGCATAGACTCGTCCCACCCACCTCCCAGCACTTAACCGAGTATGTGCAATTAAATGTGCTAGGAACTTCGTTACATGACTTTCAGTCTATATATAAATGGAGAAATATAATCTTCAGATGGCAACTCAACCCATTTAATATGTCCACTGCATTATTTCTCTTTGACTAGGAAGCCCAGGGCAACTAAAAGGCCTCATTCAAGAGCCTAAAATTAGGCAAAAAAAATAAAATTAAAAGGTGTATTTTCAAAACGTGCCACAGAAATACCTTTTTTCCCCCACTAAGAAATTCCTCTCGTAGAGTAACACACTTCTGACTCAAAAGCTTAAGTGCTGAGCTTGTCTTTGCACCATGTTCAGCTCTACAGAGCCGTGAGAAGTCATAGTCATGGAAATGAAATTCTGTAGACAGGAAAGGCCAGGGAAGAGTCTGCGTGTTAAACGTGTGCCTGTGCGGGGCAGCTGGCGGGGTTAGCTCACGGGACTGGGCAACAGAAGGCGATTCTTAGGATTTTATTCTGTAACAGTGAAATCATACATACCGCTTTAAAGATACCTGTTTCTTCGTCAGGTTTATGAAGGTTATGGCCAAACCGAATGCACGGCGGGATGTACCTTTACAACCCCGGGTGACTGGACATCAGGTAAGGCTTTTCTTCCACCACTTCCAGACAGAAAAGAAATGCACATTTCATTTGAAAATTCTGGACACTAACGGCATGGGGGGTTATGCAACATTTGCCACCGTGTGAATCATCTTCAGCAAATGTAATGTTCTTGGAAGCATCAGTAATCCAGAATAAATACACAGGGATGGGCTGATGGGGAGATTTGGAATTGTCCCCCGAGCTGTTATTTGCGATACTCTCACCTCAGCACCCCTGGCCCTGTGAGCCCTCTCTAGAGCACTGGAGCTGAATTTAAAAGAATGTTTGTTATAATGAAATGCTGGAACAAAGAAAAGATTCATGCATTCATGTACCTAGTGAGCAAACTCAGGCTTTGAATACAGATCCACTGCTGCTCAAAACTTTATATATTTCAGGCTTTCTAAAACTTTTGAATCTTGACAAAATCAGATAAAAATTGGCACTAAGCAAGATTCAGATAATGCATAGAAGTACTGCAGCTTGATTTCTTCCTAATATAATTCATCCGTATTTACAAAAATGTTTTGAAATGGGTATCATACTCATTCAAATGAATACTAGTAGGAAACCTGGACATCAGATACCAATGGGCCTGGCCAGTTAAACATTTCCTTCTTTCCAACCCAGATTTTCCATGGCTGGAGAAGATCACGTGCTTTCTTTTCCCTTACTTTAAACCAAAACCGGCCCCTTGCAGATGCTGGTGTGTCCTGGGACTTGCTGCCCACCGGCCCCCTGCTTGTGCCCTGGCCACCGCTCGCGTGCCAATGCTGCATCCTCATCCTCAGCGCGCTTCGGTCTGGCGCCTTTGCAAAATGAGACCTCAGCCCGCGAGCGCTACAGCGCACGAAGTGCTGTGACACAGAGTTGGGGCTCCTCTTCCCAGTCTGTTTTTCCAAGTGGCTGTTTCTGGGGAAAATGGGCCTGGTTTGGCCCCCGTTGTGCTCTAGCAGCGCTTGTCGGCTGCAGCAGACATTGCCCTCGCATCATCTTTGGAGAAACTGTAGGGGTGGGGGGCACACGTGTTCAGCGAAATGTCACTGCGGTTGCTATTGCCAGGTGATTAAAATAAGGGGGGGTCCCGAGCTTAGTGGGCTTTTATAATGAGTTAAGCTTAGAAAAGGGTTTAGTCTCTTACAGGTACAGGAGACACGCTCTGTATTTCGACAGAGTGTTTGAAAACAGGGTTATATATATTCAAATAGGAGGTTAGGGTATTTAGTCTTAATAGAGCAAAACCTTAAATGAGGAAATGATTTCTGCACACAGACACAGGTCTTGCAAGAACACCCAGTCTATGTACAACCGTGCAAGCAACTAATAATAAAATGCTAATTATTCTTTATAGGAAAGATGACAAGTGACTTCATAACTTTGATTTCCAGGTCACGTAGGAGCCCCTTTGCCCTGTAACTTAATCAGATTGAAGGATGTGGAAGAGCTGAACTATTTTGCTTCCAAAGGAGAAGGAGAGGTAGCAACTCACATTTTTATATCCAATTCTCACTGGTTAACACTGTATTATGTTGTACTTACAGAAGCATTTTACCTTTGAAAGGTGCCTGGTTGCAGATGTGTTACTTATTACAATCAGGAAAGGAAAATGCCAATTCAGCAGTAGAGCAGCAAAGCATTAATTAAAAAGGGGCTGTGCCAGTACTTCCAGCCAAAGCCATACCTGATTACCTTAAAAGCTAAGGCTGAATTAATTAGTTCAGCTAAGAAGAGCTGAACTGCTGTGATTTCTACATTGCTGATATTTCTATATTGCACAGAAATGAAACTTACTGAAATAACTTTTTTTTTAACTGCAAGCTGAATGCAAACCAAGTTCAAACAAATCACTTCTGCATTCCCTACTTCATATTCCGTTAGTTTGAAAAAAATCCATAGGTAATTTTATAACGCAATATATTTTAGTTTCATGGAGCAGACATTAACACAACCTTGAAAATATATCACTTTTAGTGAATTACTATTTAGCTTGTTAGGATAAAATAATAATAATTTAATAATAATTTATCAGCAACCCTGGCTCTTTTGCAGATATGTGTGAAAGGGCCGAATGTTTTCAAAGGTTATCTGAAAGATGAAGAGAAGACAATGGAAGCGCTGGACCAGGAGGGCTGGCTTCACACTGGAGACATCGGGAAATGGTTACCTGTGCGTACTGATCCGATGCTCCGTTCTTATGTCAATTGTATTATCCCACGTAAATTTTCAAGTACCGAACTTAATTTCCCAAGCAGATCTACCTTTACAAAGGATTACGCTTATATTAATAAGAATATATTATTAAATTAGCTTGAATTGAATAAGCTCGGTATGTCAGTGAAGCATTTTCTGTTCCAAGCAGGCTGCTGACTGAGTCTCTATGGTTAAATAACTTCTCTGGGAACTCTCATTTCTTTCTCCTAACAGAATGGGACTCTTAAAATCATTGATCGGAAAAAGCATATATTTAAACTTGCTCAGGGAGAATATATTGCACCGGAAAAGATAGAGAATATCTATATCCGCAGTGACCCTGTTGCCCAGATCTACGTCCACGGAGATAGCCTGCAGGTAAAAACTAAGTTTTCAGAAAATCTTACTTTATTCTTTGTAAGTAGAAGACAGAGGGCTGGGCATGAACGAGGGGAAAGCGTGCGTGGATCGCCCCACGTTTGTGCCCTGATGGCAGCCACGCAGGAGCTGAGTGCTGGTGTGACCCAAAGCAGCCTGGGGGATGTTGTGGCCAAAGATGAAGCCTTTAGATTTGCTTCCGTGTCACCCTTTGGGTCTCTAGTCCTCTCCTTTGCCACACTGCCTGCGGTAGCCAAACGAAGGCAAAGCCACCGCTGCTCCATGACCACTGCCTACCCATTTTGACCAATCTCGTCCCATTTATTCCCATATTTATACAGACATGTGCAGCTGCTGAAGCTGTTGCAGTTCGTCCCCCTACATTCACTGGTCACAACCATGAGGCTTCCCTTGGCAGCAGAGTTTGCCTGAGACTCACAAGCCCATGAACTGCATGTGTATAAATGGTGTGTTCTGCTCTGGCTTACACCTGAGAAAAATGAATTAGTTTAATTAATGTCCAAGCAGAACACAAACCCAGCTGAAGGTGTTAAAATTGTTGGCAAATGCAGAAACAGTCATGGAGAACCCTTTTATCTGAGGAAAAGGCACAGACACCAAAATATCCTTCACCATGGCATGTTAGCAAATTATTAACATATTTAAACAAGAAGTGATAAACACAGAGCAAATTCAACCGGCCGATGTATTCACTTCAATGTAGGGCCTTAAACGTCGTTCAGCCTTTGCCTGCAACTCTCCTCCTCCTCCTTCACCTACAGGCCTTTCTGGTGGGAATTGTGGTGCCCGATTCTGAAGTTATGCCAGGCTGGGCAAGGAAAAGAGGGTTTGATGGAACATATGCAGAACTCTGTAAAAATAAGGTTTGTCTTTCTCCCCGTCTGCAGTACAGACATTTTTCCACTGTAGCATAACCTAGTTAAGAGTTGGTGTCTATTATTAATGATCTATTATTAATGACCTCGGTGACAAGAATTATTTCTTCGCTGCAATTGAAGCAGTGCGTGTGCTGACTGATGGTACAGACCTCGTGCATGGGCAGGACCAAGGGTTCGTCTTGCAGAGAACAACACTACAGCAGTAGGAGAGGTTTTATTTGTTTAGATGTCTTAAATAAGGATCCCAACCTCATTTACCCACGCTCTCTGGTACCGCGTAACCGGGTTGCATCACATCGATGACCACTGATGCCAGTGAGTCATCCCACTGGTGTCTGTGGGACATAATTCTGTGTCTAAGGCTGGCAAAAGGTTGAAGGATTGCAAATTTAAGCATCCATGTCATATAGGTTTGAAAATATAACCTTAACTTTTCATACTGAGGAAAGAATATCACCACCGCACTGAAGTTTAATGTTTGTACATTTCTTTAATAGACTATTTGCTAATTATGTATTAACTATCAATAAGGCACTTGAGCTTTACTCAGAAACGTGTTTTCTTGATGACATTAACTGCCTGTAAGGTTGACTGATACTTCATGAGGAATTCATGTGTTTTAACCCAGGAACTGCAGCGGGCGATAATGGAAGACATGGTACGGTTAGGTAAGGAGAGCGGACTTCATTCCTTTGAGCAGGTAATATGAAACAATTAATACATGATTCGGTGTGGTCAGACAGGCAATTTGTCCATTTGTATTCTGTCAGCACTTGAGAGAGAGCGCTTTATTGCTGGCAAGTTATATTTGTTCCTTTGAAAAATATACACGCTGTGATTCTGCCTTCCACTTGTGCTTGAAATTTGAATTAAATTTAGTGAAAGACTTGGGCGTGGAGGTAAAAATCTAATTCAGGGACATGGGTAATCTTCAGTCTGACAACCAGGGCTCAGGATAAATATCTGTAGGACTCTGATGCTTCTGCCACTGAAATCACTGGTAAGAAACTGGGTCACTAATTACCATTCTTATAACTGACCTAGGAAATGCGGCCGATTTGTTTTCAGCCCATGCACTGATTCTTTTCTGCTGCTTATGTAAATATTTCTGCAACAGAGCTGCAGACACTTCAGAAGAAGAGATCTGAAATCAACCATGGATTACACAGCATTAGAAACAGTAAAAAAAAAAAAATACACCATGTTTTAAAATGTCAAAATGCTTGTTTCTGTTAAAAGAATGAACATGTTAATCATTACACATAATTCATAATTAGCAAGGGCCTTTTTGCTTTTGTTTAGACTGTATCTGGGTGCTAATTCTAATGAGTGATTCACCATATCTGAGCACAGCAGAAGCGCCGTTAAACATAAACTTGTGATTCTTCATTTCTCAGTTACATATGCAAATGAAATGATAGTAAAAAGAAATTAATTTAACAAATGAACTTCAATATAAAGCACGGTTTGCAATGCACAACATCGTCTGCGGTAATAAGTCTGGTTTGCTCCTGCCATGGCCTTGACAGTATGGAATATCCCCAAGTAATCTAACCTACCAGCAGTTTGCAATTAATAAACGTTAACGTAGCGAGGAAAGCTTTGCCATCTTTCTGAAAGTTAAGAAGAAATGTTTCACCTTTCAAAACCAAAGGGCTTCAAAATTAACATCTGTGTTGCAATACATAATCTTAAAACCGAACTTCGAGCCAGATGCTATGGCTGATGCTCTGGTGGGCTGGGGATCCCCGGTCTATGGAAGAGCCGCTCGTTATCATCCCCGTCCTCGCCTGCAGGGCCTGAGCTTGGCCCCCTGGTTTGGAAGTGACAGCTCTGGCTTCTGTAACCAACAGCTTCCAGGGTGCAGGCTCTGAAAGCCAGCGCAGCGAGCGGGGGAGGCACTACGAGCACGAACACTGATTTTGTGAAGGACGTCACTGGGGGAGGAATTGGACCTCAGTGCTTACCAGGGAAATATGAATCATGTATTTAATGGGAATTTAAAAATTGAGTCTCAGCCTATATTCCTGCAACTCCCAGTCTAACAAAATGCAAACCCGTCTGGTTTGGGGAATCACGAAAGCAGCAGATGGCTGGGGAATTTTGTCTCAAATCAGTGGACTATGACCAGTCACGCAGCAGTTTTCTGCTTTCTCCCACACCAGCACTCCCATAAATGCACTGGAAGGAAAAGCTCGCTCCCGTCTGCGCTGCCAGGCTCCCTGCTGTGCTCAGAGACACTGCCGCTAACAAGGGCAGCCTTGTAAAATCCCGTTTGCCTAGGACGAATGATTTTATATCATTTTAATTAGCTAGTAAAACACCACCGATTCTGCTTCTTTAAAGATGATCACCACGTACATTCTTTGCGCCTGCAAAGCTCCATGGTAATTTTGCAAGACTGAATTAGCGCTGCTTGCTTTCTTTGCAGTTCGGTTAAGATGATGTCTCTTAGTGCGATGCCCTGCCCTCTCTCCCGCAGCCTTCCAACCGTGTGAAACGCCGCAGTTACCGTATCGCGTGTGGTGATAGTGTCCTGTGCTGCGGTTTGGCCTTGGTTTCGTACGGACACGAGGTCTATGTGCTCACCCTCTCGGAGAGCCCCCTTCTGCGCTGGCTGGCTGGCGGGTCAGCGCGGGCACGGGAAAACGAGCAGGAGAGCAGGGAGCGGTGAGGGGTGGGGGAGGGATTTAGCGTCGCCTTGGAAAACTTGGGCATGGCTTCACCAAGGGCAAGTCCTGCCTGACGAACCTAGTGGCTTTCTGTGATGGTGTGACAGCATCAGTGGACAAGGGAAAACCAACAGACGTCATCTATCTGGACTTCTGCAAAGCCTTTGACACGGTCCCCCACAACATCCTTCTCTCTAAATTGGAGAGCTATGGATTTGATGGGTGGACTGTTCGGTGGATAAGGAACTGGCTGGATGGTCGTGTCCAGAGGGTAGTGGTCAATGGCTCGATGTCCGGATGGAGACCAGTGACGAGTGGTGTCCCTCAGGGGTCCGTGCTGGGACCGGTGCTGTTTAATGTTTTCATCAATGACTTAGACAGCGAGATCGAGTGCACCCTCAGCACATTTG